TCAGTCGCATCAACCATGTTGACATTGGTCGGTCGGTACTTAGTTTCCCACCTGTCAGGAATGCAGCGGATCCGGAAGGTTCTGGAGATGAGGGAGAAGGAGCTTCACCTGGAGCCGAGGAACCTGAAGACCGAAGAAGATGGTAAGGCAGATAGCACAGACGAGGTCATCTACGTCTCCAGCCACCGCGAACCCTCTGGCTCCAACCTGAGCGACCTCATAGTCCAGCTTCAGCATCAGATGCGGACTCGTCGGATTGGCTGCAGCAGAACACGCGGAAACCTTTGCCAAGCAGAACCCGGAGGTCTTCCAGGTCTACAGCAAATTCATGGGGAAGTAGTGAACAGAATCGCAGGAGGTCATGCATTGGCGGTTGAGGAAACCCTCGTTCTGATGTAACAGCACAAGATCTCGGCCACCGAATGGTGCCGTTCTTGTACTATATTGTACCTATGGACTGGTGGCTGGTCCCACTAATATGAATGACAACAGGCAAAGGCTATGGAGATTTGGGATGCAATCAGTGACTCGCGACCCGAGCCATTCGCGCTGGGGCCATGATGGAATATGTCAAAGGCTGTGCTTAGGGGGTACGTTCCCTCTTAAGTCCATGTAAAGGATATATTTTTTCGGATTAGAGTTTAGATTTCGAGAGTGGAGAAGGGTGGAAGCCCTTTATCAGAGGTCTTTTATTGCTCTCTGTGTCCCTGTTGGGAGATTCACCTTCTGGATTTCCCTTCACGGCTTTATCTCACCAGTAAAATAAACATTTTTGAGTTGTCACAAGAGAAAAAGGCGAGGGGGAAGAAACCCTCCAAGTGGAGACAACTCTCTAGAATGGGACTTCATTGACTTTGGAGAGATTTCTTTTCAATTCCTGTCCTTCTGTAGGACGGGAAGTGGATGTAAACTCTAACAATGTACCTTCTCTTTATTTCTGCTTATTTTTTTTGTTTTTAGATTTAAAAATTAAAGTCATTAAGGAAGGTTTTTTGGGGAAAAGTGGTTAGAATGGAACAATTCTAAAGTCCAGCTGCACTCATTAAAAACCACCTTCCCATCATTACCAACACCTTCCATCACCATTCATTTTCATTGCGGTGTCTCCTTATTACAGGTTTACTCCATTCAAAAGCAAACGTTTATTATTTTGCAGCTTACCAGTTCTTGTGAAGATGTGATGGGCAGCATCATTTTTTTTTTTTTTTTTTTTTGGAATTTTTTTTCCCTTTTTATTTTTTTTATCTGGTGATCCTGCCAATAAGTCTCTTTTTCAACAGAACCACCGTAGCTGCAAAATGTATCAGTTTAAGGGGTTGAGACAAGCTATTTACCTACTTGACCGGGGTGCTGACCGGGGTTGCTTGCAAAGATCAGCTTTTTGTATATTCACTGTAAATCCTTTATCATTAAACAAAAAATATATTTTTTAATTTTCAATAATTTTGTGCATCTAAATCTATTACATCTAACACTCTCCTCCCCCCTAGACTGACAATGCTGCTTGTCCAAAGGTGCCCCCCTGTGCTCTTTCCTCCAGAGGGGGGGGGGGAAGGGTGCTGTAATACAGGAGGTGTGTTACTGGTCTGATCACCAGAGGGGGGAAAAAAAATACTAAAGAAAACTGGGCCACCACATCTAAGGATTGGTAAGAATTGCAATATATTAAATTTTTGGTTTGGGTTGAAGACCGCTTGAAGGGAAATCTTCCCCATGGGATCCAGGAGACATAAAAGTTACCACAATAGGGGTTTTAACCCTTCCCTACAATATACTCAGTTACTAAATCCCGGACCCTGCATTCACTACATCCGCTCTCCCCCGGACCCTGCATTCACTACATCCGCTCTCCCCCCGGACCTGCATTCACTACATCCGCTCTCCCCGGACCCTGCATTCACTACAACATCCCTACTCAAACCGCGGACCTGCATTCACTACATCCGCTCTCACCCGGACCCTGCATTCACTACATCCGCTCTCCCCGGAGACCCTGCATTCACTACATCCGCTCATCCCCGGACCCTGCATTCACTACATCCGCTCTCCCGGACCCGCATTCACATACATCCGCTCTCCCCGGAACCTGCATTCACTATATCCGCTCTCCCACTCGGGTTCCTGCATTCACTATATCTGCTCTCCCCAGGGTTCCTGCATTCACTATATCTGGTCCTCCACAGTACACACAACATGGAAATGCAATTATTTTTGAGTAAATATAAACTGCTCACTAACTTTTCTCGTCAGCAGTATATATCAGTCTTGTGATTCTATCAGTGTTCAGCAGAGCACTGGTTAAAGCTTGTAGGAGGATTTTTCTTTCTGTTCTGTCTGTAAAGACTAATTGCCTCCTGAGAATGCGTAATGAAACAAGATTTTGTGGTAATCAAGGGTCTTCTATACACAGTGCTATGATACTTCAGCTGGTGCAACAAGGGGATCTGTGACCATTAATAGCAGGTGCTGGATGTAATGAGGTGTCTCCAGTTCCCGGCTACACATTTCGCTTAATTCATAGAAACAGAAAAAAGAGGTTATTTACGAAGGCCCCATTTACATGGAACGTTTCTGAACAATGGAGGTTTTAAAAAAAACGTCTGTTTAGCCACATTTGCATAATGCGTTTATGCACATTTGGGTTTAGAAGCATTTTTTTAAAGATAAGCACAGAGAAACCTCCCCTAAATGCCCAGAATGCACTGAAAATGGTAAATTATTAACTATTTCCGACTGTTTCAGAGAAATACAGAGAGTAAGAAGCAGAGACAGCAGTAAGTGTTGAGATTAGCTTAGGTGTGAGTAGCTCATTAACATTTCTTTTGTTTCCAAGGGTGGAGAGATGTCTGGTGGAGGGAGTCATTAAGGCCACCTGGCAGGGGGTCTTCATGAGGAATTTGAGGTGTGAATGGTCATTGACATATCTTGTTTCCAAGGGTGGGGAGAGGTCTGAGGTGTGAATTGGTCATTACAATGTGTGACAAGCTTGATAGGAACATCCTGTGTTCAGTGTTTTGTCCCATCTGAGTACCTTGAAAACGCTTTGCGTGAATTTGTATTGATGAAAAAAGGCTCTGGACAGCACTGGGAACTGGAAGAGTTAAAAAAAAAAAAAAAAAAAAGTTCAAATTTGTTGCGTTTACAAGCGTTTGCGTTTGAAACGCTGATAAAATCGACTGCTGAATGCAAGTTTGTTGCGTTTCAAAAAAAAACAACTGTAAACTCAACTGCCTGTAAACGACTGTAAACGAGGATGTGTACATGGACACATAGGAAAACATTAGGGAGAGTTCAGGGGCTGCTGAAAAAAAAAGGCAGAACAGCTCCTAAACGCGAGTTTATCAGCTGCAGTGTACATGAGCCCTAAAACCACACGGTGCAAAATCTGCTGCAGCTCTGCATAGAAACCAATCAGCTTCCAGGTTTTAATCTCCATGCACATGGAGTGTTTTGGTAACGCTGGGTAACGTTAGCTGTGTAAAGGCACGTTCAAAAAAAAAAAAAAAAAAAGGTGAAAAACTCAAGTTTTTAACGTTTTTGCATTGGCGTTTTGCCACTTTTTTATAGCATTTTTTTTTTTATATTTAATTACGAATGCAACAAAACAAAAATTAAACAATCATTCTGAAATGACCCCAAACAAATGTTTTCATATCATTTATAAATGTTTTCATAATTTAATATATTACCGTATTTTTCGCCGTATAAGACGCACTTTTTCTTCCCCAAAACTGGGGGGGGAAATGTCAGTGCGTCTTATGGAGCGGCCGTCTGGTATTTCCACCGCGGCCGTGTCAGAATACCGGGCCGGCCGCTCAGCTCTGCAGCGGGACTTTACCTGTTCCTCTATCCAGCGGCGTGCTGTCTTCCCGGTTCTGTAGTGTGGGCACTGGGCATGACAGCCGGGTGCCAAGTGCGCATGCGCAAGAAGCGGTGCTTTTTGTGAATGGTAAGGCGGTACCTGGGACACATGACAGATCCCAGAAGCCGCCGGACCAATCACAAAGCGCAAGTGCTTCTCGCTCATGCGCACTGGGCACCCGGCTGTCATGCCGAGCGCCATTACAGAAGCCGGGAAGACAGCGCGCCGCTGGATCGAGAAACAGTAAGATCAAACAAAAAAAACTCTGTGGAAGTAAGAGCGGGTATCTGTCAAATTCAGGTACCCGCCCCCCACCTCCCCAAAGGTCAGCAGTCATCTGTGCTGTCCGCAGTCTCTGGTCATCCCTGTGCTGTCCGCAGTCTCTGGTCATCCCTGTGCTGTCCGCAGTCTTCTGGTCATCCCTGTGCTGTCCGCAGTCTCTGGTCATCCCTGTGCTGTCCGCAGTCTCTGGTCATCCCTGTGCTGTCCGCAGTCTCTGGTCATTCCCTGTGCTGTCCGCAGTCTCTGGTCATCCCTGTGCTGTCCGCAGTCTCTGGTCATCCCCTGCACTGTGTCCCAGCAGTCTCTGGTCATCCCTGTGCTGTCCGCAGTCTCTGGTCATCCCTGTGCTGTCCGCAGTCTCTGGTCATCCCCTGTACTGTGTCTGCAGTCCATTAGTTCAGAATTTTTTCCCCCTGTTTTCTGCCTCTAAAACCTAGGTGCGTCTTATACGGCGAAAAATACGTACGGTAAATATTTTTTTGGTAAAAGTCCAAAAATGCCAGTTTTGCAGCATTTTTGCCACGTTTTTGAGCGTTGGAGTTTTTTTTACAGCTAAAAAAAAAACTCCCCTAGAAACCCACTAGTCCTGTGTGGTGTGTTTTTTTTTTTTTTTTTCTCCATCAAAAAAATGTTGATTCCAGTTTTATATGTGCATGGACATGTAGGAGAACATGCCGGGGGTGGACACGTAGGAGAACATGCCGGGGGTGACACGTAGGAGAACATGCCGGGGGTGGACACGTAGGAGAACATGCCGGGGGTGGACACGTAGGAGAACATGCCGGGGGTGGGACACGTAGGAGAACATGCCGGGGGTGGGGACACGTAAGGAGAACATGCCGGGGTGTGGACACGT